TTCAAGTGCAAAATGATGATATAAAACCATGATAAAAATGCACTTTTAAGTACTAATCAGTCACCTTGTCCCTCTCTTTCTCCTTTTATTTTTCTTCTTTTCCCTTTCTTTTTTGGACGGGTTTGATGGGATCAAGGTTGTTGGCTATAGTTTAATAATCTTTATCTTTCTTTTCTTCTTCTCTTTTTAGTTAGGCCTTTATTGGGCTTGATTAAATTACCTTTAGGTATTGAATTGGGGGTTGGTGAAGAAATAAAGGATTAAATCAAAAGAAATAAAAAAAAATATAATACATGTGTTAATGAATAGTTATCATTGTTGTCTTCAAACAATGCTCGAGCCTTCTCCCATTGTTTGATTTGTATCTTTTTATTCTAGTTTGCTTTATTATAGCATGGGCAATTTTCTAAATCGATGCTCATCGATGAAAAGTCACTGATGTAGCTCCTATGATTTGTTTTTCTTTTTTTTTTCTTTTCTCCTTTTATCCCCTCTTGCTTTCCTTTTTTTCCCCTTCCTTGTCTAGTTAGGCCATTTGAGTTAACAAGTTGTTCAACTTGTTTTTTTTTTTCTCCTTTTCTTTTGTTTCTTGTTTGGTTTATTAGCAGAACTACTAATTGATTGAGCTATTAGTCTAACTCGTGGTCAAATAGGCTTTTCCCTTCCTCTTCTGTTTTTATTTTTTTTATTTTTCCTTTTTCTTTCTCTTCCTCTTCCTCTTCTATTCTCTAATTGGGCCTTTCCTTTTCTTTTCTTTTTCATCTTCTTTTCTCTTCATCTCTAGTTGAATTAGGTCTATTCAATGAGGCTTTATTAAGCTCTTATTCTTTCTCTTTCTTTCTTTTTTTTTCCCTCTTTCTCCTCTTCTTTTTCCTTAAGTCTAGTTATGCTACTTGATTTTTCTCGTGCCAATTACCTTTTAAAGCTTCTTATCAACTTGAAGTTTTTTCCATTTTAAAAATGAAAACATTGATGATTTATCAAGTAATATTGCTATAATAATGACAAAATATATAAAAACATGTAATGAGGACATGAAGAAAATATTTTTTATAAGGCAAAGTAGTGGAGACAATTTAATTGCTATGTAATTCTAACTCATTTTGTAGTATTACTTGTAAGTTTATATACTAATTATATGTTATATTACCAAATGATGAAGTTATGAAAACTATAGATTAACTTTCCATAGCTACATTCTAGGTTAGTAATTGGTTTTTTTTTTCCTCGTAAAATAAGTCCCCTATCAGAATAGGAGATTTTATGATACTTAGGTCAGTAAATGTAGGATGAGGGTTATATGTGTGAAGAGAGATCACGTGAACATGATTTTGTGTCTAATTAAGTCTATATATAGAGTTTGGTCTAGTATTTATCTCTTTTTTAATTTATCTGTGACCTAAAAGGCATTTATAGACCTGGTTGTTGACGTACCACATAGAGAAAAGATTTTGTGCTATTAGTGGAGAAGTTTATGTTTATTATTGTTATGGTGTCTTATTTTACTGATGGAGTTATTGGTGTTAAATAATTTGAAAGAGATAGTTATTAGTTAGACAGGGTGGTAGGCCATAGAGTTAGTGTAGTAGTCAGGTCGAGGGGTGACCATTGGTGAAAATAGTGTTGTGGTAGGCATAATAAGTGGTGCATTTTGGCTCTATGAAACTAGATATATTTAAGATGTGTACCTAAAAAAGTAAGTGTGTAAGAGAAAAGGTGTAAAAAGAAAAATATAAGAGAGAAAAGGATCTAGCCATTTGGCTAATGTGTTTATTGTATGCACTAGGTAAATGGGTCACCCACTACCTTTAAATAATGCATATAGCCCACTACGGCTCTATTAGTGACCTTTTTTTATGTTTATAAATTCATATCATTGAGATCTTTTTTTATGATACAAGGGGTCTTATTATTAAAGCTTCAAAATGTCTTTATTGTCCTTTCTTTATGTCTTTCTTGTTCTTTTTTTTTTTTATCTCTTTTGTGCTTAGAATTTAATGGCTACTTATTTCTCATCTTCTTTCTTCCACCATTTGATCTTTCTATTTTTTTTTCAAGTTTTTAGATCTAATTACTTTTGTGATTTGATTATGCTATATTATGCATTCTTAGGAGGGAAAGTGCATTTATATGTCCAAATCAACTCTTACATGTATGCTATTTAATTATTATTATTTTGAAAGTTTTTAGTCATTTGGGCTCAACCTAAAAAAATACGATGTTAAGCCATTTTAGACCAGTCCAAATTTTTTATTTTTTATTTTTTTTGCTCAATTACAATCACCATCATTATCACCAAATATATAGTTGTTCCTACATTGAAGGCGTTGCTCAGCTCATAAGATAAAACAAATTTTTCTTACATTTTGAGAATTTTTATTTTCCTATATGTAAGAATGGAGACATAAATTAAATATACCATGAAGGATTGAAATGAAGAAACAACATTGAAGTCAAAATCATTCATCATAATAGATGCATACTGAAATCAGATCGGGTGAAACCAAATATGGAGAGCTTTTTCTTTTTATTTATAAAAGAAAATGGATGGAGAAATATGTTACCAACACATAAGAAACCTAAATATACTTGTATATACTTATAATT